TTAATAGGAAGGGATGCTACATCGAGCGAGGTAGCATGGTAGGTCAGTGGGTAGTACCATGATCTCCTACCTGTAGGGTTAGGGCTCAAATTCTGTGTCTGGGAGTGAGGCGATGCAGGTCCTGGAACGCATACAAAACACAGTGCTGAAAACATGCTGTGTATTTTTAAAAATACATGAAAACTAAAAAAGTATGAGAAATTGCATGAAAATTGGTCTATAAATAAAAAATAAAAAAATAATATATATATATATATATTTAATTTAATGTAACTGTTTTTGTTTGTTTTTCAACCAGATAGCAAGCAGATCCATGTAAATCGGTGCTGAAAGGCAGACACTCATAAACAGAGAAGTCCCAGAACGGCATAAATGAAGCAATGCCCACAGTACATGCTGCGTGTGGGGGTGTGAACCCCACAATAGACTGACATCTCATCCAGGGTGCAGGCCCGCCTTGTGCCCTAAGCTGTCTGGGACAGGCTCCAGCCGCCCCCCCTGACCCTGAGTAGGATAAGTGTTTGGAAGATGGTTGGATGTAACATAATGAATTTGGCTGAGTATAACAATAGGAAGATGGCAGATATAACATAAGGAAGATGGCGGATATAACATAAAGAAGATGGTTGGATGTAACATCTATAATTGTGCTTACTGTACATTTTGTGAACTAGAAAAGAAAATAAAGCATTTTCAAAGCCAGGAACTCTATTAACAAAATTATCTGAAACTGCCAACATGATGTTAAAAAGCGTAAATGCGTAACAGTCACCTAGTGCTTCTTTCCCCTACGAAAAGCAGAAAGTTAGATACGGTGGTCTTGAGGATAGCTATTTTCATAAAGCAATTTTTCATCTTTATGTCCCCATATGGCAATATTTTTTAGCCCACTATGTGACAATGTCAAATAGAGTTTATCCATCCCCATTACCCTGGTTTTGACAATGAAGCATATCAACAGTGAGAAAAATCTATTTTCGTTATTACCTTGAAATTAATACATTATCCCAAACTTAAATAAATGTCATCAGAACAATATATCTTCGAATGGAAATTGAATCAATGTGAAGGACACCGCTTCATTATTCATTAAAGTTATAGCGATGTAGGCAGATCAAATAGTTATTTCAGTGCCATTACCTTCACGAACATTTTAAATAGCCAACGTCCTTGTTACACTGCACATTTATTTTAGGCTAAAGTAGGCAATCTCAACACCTCTCAAGCTGTTCTCAGATTTTGAGTCTTAGTTTTACAATTTACTTGGTGACGATATCGTTTCCTGGTTTCACATTTAAAGCTATTCAAAGACATTAAATACAAACAGGGCATTAATATGAGTTAGTTACTCATTTGCATCATATGGTTAAAGGTAAATTATTGGGTAGCATTGTCTCCTGAAATCTGTATGGGTTAGGAGTTCAAATGCTGGCTCATTGTCTGTGGATTTTTCATGCAATTCCTGTGTTATCACAGGTTTTCCCAATACAGTCAAAAACATGCAGATTAGAATCTCAAAATTGCTATCGGTGCATGAATATGTGGCCCGCAATGCATTGGCATCCCATACGAGGTGCCCCATTCTGCCCTGTGCTTCCAGGAATAGGCAACAAGCTCAATGCAGCCCTGTACTAGATTAGCATGTATGGATGGATAGATTATATGGCTAAACGCTCATGTAGTGACTAGTTTTCTTTAGATTTATGTTGGACATAAGCAGATATTAACCATGATAGGAGCCCAAGTACCATAATATTACGCTTAAAATGTTATTGGAGTGAGGTGAAAATTGACAATGGGCTTTCAACTTAACATCACAGTCACGGGGTCATCATTTATGAATTTACTTTAGATGGGAAATTGATGTAATTGGAAAAATATTAGCTGTGGCACAGAAATTTATCCTCAGCGCTCTATTATACTGCAACCATTATTAATTTGACATATTTTATAGTAATACATATAGGCTCTGGACCACACCTTTAGAGTTGGTGGTTCATATGTGGTTCCTAGTCCACTGTGTCTGTCTGTGTCTGTCTGTGCATGTTCTCCACAAAATATGGGCTTTTCCAAGTCACTGGTCTCTTACTGTGTACCTTATTTGAATGTGAACTTATCTCCTGTGCTGCTTGGGATAGAGTCCAGGTTCCCTGACCATGATAAGCAGTTGGAATATGGATGGATGGATGGACGGACAGATATTTTTAGCACATTTATATATATATATATATTTTTAAATTATTTATTTATTAAAAATTTTTTTGAGGCAACTACTACTTCTGTGCCAACCACACTGATGATTCCTCCAACAATGACTGCTCATTGTTTGCTGTGAGTACAATCAGTATATTAATATGGTCAGACAACTGCATTGTTTTTATTGTTTATTTTTAACTCCTAGATGTGACAAAGAGTTTCTGCACGTGCATCTCTAAACAGGAGGATGTGGTGCTTAGCCTGTAAAGCTACGTGATTTGCAGTGGCTTTTTCCAGGCTCTTGAAATGTGCTCTTTTATTTGACTGAATGTGCTGGCGTCACTGTTTCCTCCTGGACATCCCGTTAATGCGGAAGTAGCACGAGTGGCTCCTTCCTGATCCGAGTTCTGTTTGTTTGCAAGCTGTACGGGATGACAGTCATGAGCACAGATGCCGAGCATCAACATTTCCACAAGACAGGGGTGTCAATAAATCAACCTTAGAGCAAAAATTGCGACCTTATTAAAGATTCTGGCCAACAAAAGATTAGACCTCAAATTTGAGGCCTTTTACCAGTTGAATAGCATAGGTGGGCATGTTGCCACTGTTGGCAGAGTGTAAGCGAGTATATTGGTTAAGCAAACTCTAAATGGTATGGCTCGTTATTGAGTCCCTCCCAGTGTAACAGGCGGTCCTGGGCCCCAATCTGGTGCCAAGTCCATCTGCCAGGATTCATTCTTCAAGGACTGAAAATCCTTTCTAAATCAAGATTAGGTATAGTGACATATCTATCTGGGTCAACAAATATGACTGTCTGATTATCACATCGGTCAGCTGCCGGTAGTCTTCACTGAACCTTCTTAAGCCCCTCCTCCTCGGAATCTGGACTACTGGGAATGCCAGTTGGAGAGCTCAGTCATTTCTCCAGGTCTTATCGACTTCCCTTTGGCAGCTTGATGGATATAGGGCATACAATAGGTACATCTGGTGGTCCAGGTTTACAAGCAGATTTATAATTTACTGTAATAAATAGTGTTAAACACAAAGTAAAGGAGCATCAGGAAACATTTTCTATGTCAAATGTTTAAAATTAATATGCTACAATAGGAATATATTTTTTTTAAACTATGTTATAAAAAATAACTTCCAATGAAATTATGAATTACATGCAATAAAGTAATTTTCTGGTTTATAAATGATTTTATAAATGGCAGTATTTAGCTAAAGGTCTTTTCTATAGCTTGAGTTATAATTTAATAAATTATTTTACATGTCTAGCATCAATGACCATTACTGATGGCACCCACCTTCTCAGCCACCAGAAGCATTATTTCCACATCTCCTACGGGGTGGGGGTGGACGACAATCCGTATTCAAGCATGAAACTGGCAGTAGCTAGCTGCTGAACAAAAAAGAATCAGACAACAATGTTTGCTATCGACAAACGTATGCAGTCATCACAAACCAGGCAGTGGAACAAGCCCGGGGTGCGGGTGGGCGCTGGCATGCATTCACCTGTTCCAGCGATGTGTGCAAGAATGACAAACCTGAAACAAAAACCGCTGCTGGATGAGCCTTGTTGGCAAGAGTGAGGGTTCCGCATGAAGCAGGGGCTGAGCTGTGGCCAAAACAACGTCGTGTTGGTGGGGAGCTGAATATCAAAAGCCAAGGCATTTTTACCACACCAAGAAAGCTCAAAATTATTGCCAATCAATTGCTTCCGATTCTAGTACATAAAGGTCCATTAATACCTAATGTCTAAAAATATGCTGTATATTTTTTTTAACCATGACCTTCTTATGACTTGGATTCTAACCTTTCTGTCCTGAAGGGGTCAGTAGTTAGTAATGTGACCTAGAAGTCAGTTCAGTAAAGTGTGGCCATAATTAGCAGCAGGACCTCCAACTGCAAGACTGGATATGGCATGCAAAGCAGACAGTTAATTACAGTCTCATCTTCAGAAGGAGACTTAATGAATTTCAAATTGCATCAATTACAAGCTAATTGGGTTACATGCCTGGATCTGGGTAGTGGCTCTTGAAGGGTAGCGAGACGTCCAGGGATAGTAACACTTTGCCACCCTTCCTTGATTAATACTGCCTTCTTGTTAATGTTGCTCAGGATATCCCACATTGTTCTTTTTATTATTACTACTATACTTGAAAGAACAAGGTAATCCTTATCAAAAATGCTTTTATGCAACAACATCCAAATTTTTCAACTTACTAAATTTCAAATGTTAGCACTTATATTGTCACACTTTTTCCCCCATTACCCAAAATATGGAAAGATAATTTTATAAAATCCAAGTGTAGATGCAACACAAATTCTGCACAAAATCTCAAATGTTTTTCTTTGGATTAGGTCTTCAACAATTCCTTTATCTGCCAAAAGGACATGCTCAGGAAATTACTAAATTTACACATATGTCCTAAATTTATAGATCAAAATCTATTACGTAAAAGACACATAAATTTCACATTAGGGAGAGTGAAACAAAATATACGAGTGTCCGAAAGGAATTTTCCTCTTCAACTACAGCATAAAATTCAAAAGCATTACATTTGATAAATTGGTAAAAGATTCCCAAATTTCTGCATTGTAAAATGAATTGATCTGTAAAAGCATATGGATTTTGAAGGAATATTAAACTTGCAAAAAAGTCCCAACTGTGTGAAATGTTCAACTGAGCAAAGTAATAGACTTATTAGGTAATGCTGTCGATTCAGCCAGATAATGTGTGAAAGATTGTGGATACCATAGAGACCATAAAGAACAACTAAACAAAAACCAACACAACCATCTGGCATAATCAGAAAGATGCTTTTATTTTTCTAACATTGCATGATTGATAGTAAGCAATACCAAAAATACAAAACAGTGTTAATGCTAAGGTATAAAAGCATTTATAAAAGCTCAAAAGGCACTAAAGTCACAGTGAAACCAAAACAACGTCTGTACTTGTACTCAAACACTGTTCACTGTAAAATATGACTCAGACATTTGAAATTCTGTATGTTGCAATATATCATAATTTCAGCACCACTGCCTTGTTCAACCAACAATATGGTCAGAGATGCTACCGAGGATGCACTCATTAAATCCCAGGACCTCACTCATTCTGGAAAGCCTACTGCTTCTGAAGCTCATCTGTTGGCCCCAAAATGGATGCTTGGATAGATCATGCCAAGAAATAACTTCCTTGGGTTAAATACATCATGCAGGATGTGATCCATCTGCTCAAGGCATGCAGACAATGACAAAACAGTAGATGCACAATTACTTTTAAAAACAGGAAGCTAAGAATTAGCAGAATATTATTCAGTCCACATGTTCAGCACTACACCGCGATATGGAATCTTTCCGAACACATCAAACACTCAATGTTTAACAAACAAACAAAGAAGAAGCAAATACACTAATAAACAATGTTGGTCTAACAATATGAAATTAACGTAGAAAAAAAGATTGTAATTTTCAAAATGTGTGCAAGGGTTTACCATGTTTAGGTCAACAATGAAGTGAAAAGCAAACTTCTGTGTACACTTCTTGGCCTCATCCAAGTTTGTTCAAACTTTACAAATATCAGTACTGCATATTTATTATCTGTAATTAATGACTGCTTATTGTAGTCACTAATTATATCAATTAACCTGAAATTCTCATGAGCCATGAGTGGATGACTAACAGACAGAAATCTGTATAGACAAAATATTCTTATGAAAACTCCATATTAAGGCATCTCCAGACACTTATAAAATAGGTCTATCTCGAGATTACCAAACTTCCCTATAATAAAAGTACAGGACACAATAAAACCAAAAAGTCATCAGGAAAATAAGCATTTTGGCCTCTTGCAAGTGAACTGGTGTATCTTTGACTGATGGCAGCATGAGCCACCTCCTACAGGTGTACTGGGTGCTTGCAGAATTCCCAAAAAGCCTCATATCCACTTTAATGCTATTTTGATTCTTTTTGTGTACACTTCATGACCCCATACAAGTGTGTTCAAACTTTACAAATAGCAGTACTTTAAAAAAAAAAAAAAAAAAAAAAAAAAAAAAAAAAAGGAAATGTGACTGAGCGTAACCATTTGTAGTAATAAAGCTATAAAACCATAAACAGTGTATAAAAAAGCTGTGACAAAATTTAAATACCTGGTTTAATGCTGTGAAAACAAATCTGAAGTTCTGAAAAAAAGAAGTCTCATCTGATTTAATTATGAATATAACAACATTTTAAAGACTGTTTCTACCTTGTGATTGGAAAACAAATAAAAAAGACAAAAACAAAGCATGGTCAGATATATAAATATTGTTGCAAATACTTTGATACTCATTTTCACACTACTTTTCATTGAGGGATTGTAACACTGCTGTTGACTTGGCCCATTACAGTCACCAATACTGCTGCAGCTAACAAACCTTACTTCATAATCACATAATTTACAGTGCAAGGAATTTAGCATTTTCATTCAGCTTGTAAAAAATCTATCATGTCTCTATTTAATCTAATTTTCCCCCAATCCTGAGCATGTTTACAAAATAAGCAATAACCAGCAAAGTTTTTCCAATTAATATATAGTCAAATATTTTGTTGTTCACGATGCCATAGACTTTTCTTTCTTTTCCTTATGCCCCTTAATTGTACTGCAAAGGCACAGTGGTCATCAAAGTCTCATAGACAGTAATAGGTCTCCCTATGAGATCTTCACAGGCTACTGCTTATTGTAGTCATTAATTACATTAATTAACCTGAAATTCTCATGAGCCATGAGCGGATGACTAACAGACAGAAATCTCCTTATGAAAACTCCATATTAAGGCATCTGCAAACACTTAAATAGTCAGGTCTATCTAGAGATTACCATACTTCCCAATAATAAAAGTACAGGACACAAAACCAGACACACAAAAAGTCATCAGGAACATAAGCATTCTGGCCTCTTTGGCATCTGTAACATTATTTCAAAATATTTTTTCTCCTTCTGAATTGGATCAGTGTTATACTGTGCCAGAAGATAATTGAAAACGCAGTCCTATGAGGAAAAGGTGCAAGTGAACTGGTGTATCTAACTGACGGCAGCATGAGCACCTCCTACAGGTGCACTGGATGACTGCCAAAGCCTTAAGCCTCATATCCACTTTTAAGATATTTTGATTCTTTTTTTATGTTACTTTTCACTAAACAAGGCCTGAATGAAAGTTAACACATTTCAAAGAATAATACATTAAGGCATAAGTGCTTAAGAGGAAAACCAACTACGAGGCAGGAACACATCACATTAAATTTCAATTTTCTGCAAATTGTACACCAAAGAAAAAAATCCTCCTCAAATTAACTGAGATATAAAGATCAAAAGCTTAAAATATTTAACTAGGGAAAAAAATTCTCTACATTATTGGGTAAGGTGGGAAACTTAAGTGCATATAAATTACGAACTGAACACAAGACGATAGTGGTTGTGGGTTTCAGCTGTGACGTCCTCGAGGGCTGCCTTTCGTCCATTGTCCTCAGCAGGTAGTTCCCCGTGTAATTCAAAGGCCATCCTGTTTTCAGTCTAATAGGTTTGGACTCTATTAAAATTAATACAACGACCCTGAAAGACAAAATCAACAGATATTGATGCAGTGCTGGACACTGAAGAACAGGGTAGAACACATTAGGCATTTTAGAGATTCTCAGACTTCTAATACTGAGGCTGTACGGCATTTGAGCTCAAACCAGATTATTTTAGCGAAACTTCAGAGCCATGCATTTCAGCCTAAATACAAGGACTTCTGTAGGTAGAAACTCAATCAGCAGTAAAGCCTTTACAGCAACCAGAATTTACAAGTTCATTAATTAACCATTCAGCATCCCATCGGGGGTGATTCCTTGCCATGTGTCCTATAATTCCTGGGATAGACACCAGGCTCTCCACAACCCTGTACTGGATGGATGGATGGATGGTATAGATTCAGGAAGAAGTTAATCTAATAGTTAAGATGACAGAAACCATCCAGAAACTCCTGACTTATAATAAATAACAGTACAGTTTTCAAATTCAACATGTAATATTGTTTCTAAGTAATTACAGCCCCAATCTGTGTAATCAAATACCAAGGTGCAAAAAGCTTATTTCAGTGCCCATTATGGGCCTACACAAGTATATCAATGACTTAGCAAAACTGCAACAATAATGAAATGTTAAATGGTTAACTTTTGTAGGTACCAAGCAGAAAAAAAAAAGTGGTTTCTGCCTAAAATGCAAGAAGGGTGCCACACCAAAGATATGAGCCAGGGTACCAAGTGAAGAGACCACGGAAGATCATCAGTGATCAACAGCACACGGTTCACAAGCTGTGAGGCATGGACATTTAATCTGGCTGTCTGCACCATTCAGTCTTCCATTTCTATCTAGCATGACATAAATTTGGCTGCACTTGCTGACCATTCAACAGTGTCTTTTATTTTGACCAGATCTAAAAGAAATAAATAATAGCAATTTGCATTTCAGCACCTGCGGGATCATGAGCTGTGCGCGGGGTAAGGTATGACAATGTATATCTGTAAATAAAATGTAAGACAAGCTTTTCTAATTTAACACACAGAAATTAGAAACTAGGCTTTATATCTTTTCCCCCAACAATCTGACAGCTTATATTCGCTATAATACATTTCTTTTCCCAAATTACCTATATTTTTTTACAAAGCTTTAATGAGAAGTAATTTGATACAGCTGGATATAAAGAATACTGCAACTAATTTATGACCAAATCAAAGTGAGAATAGAACCCAAGGATAATCAAGTCATTATAAACACTTCTTGCAACCAATGACATATGCAGCCTCTGCTTACCCCCATAGGCATGCTGACCAAATTAAAAGTTCTAACTAATCAGGGAAAGAAAAAAGTGACAACTCCAGCTAAACATGCAGAACATGTCAACATGTGTTTGCAAGCAGGTCTATACTTCTGCACAAGCAATTCATACCCGCAGTCCACAGCCTGCATATGACCAACACACCCCAGCCATCTGTTTCGACAGCAAAATCAGAGTCCGCAAGCTCAACTGATAGGCTGGAGCATGTATTCTTCAAAAGGAGGTCAGTGGATCACATTCATGAAAAGAAGCATGCGTTACTGGAGACTGTGGAAAATACAGAGTATTCAAGAAACAAAAAGCTCCCAAGCTTTTCTCAGCACTAATGATATTACAAAATTCTGAAATCAAATCCCAATGTGGTGACGAGCACAGTGTTTAAGAAACTTGGAACTAGAACTAGGGATTCAGAAAGCAAAATGCAACAGCTAATAACTTGGTTTTAGATGTCAAACATTATATATTTTGCTTCAGATTTGTAGCACGGACTGAAATTCTGGTCCGTATGGAATTATCTTCTGTGCACATAGAGAAATCATCACAGCACCAAGAGAGAACCTGTCTGAGGATGAACAAACAGCACCTCCATACGTCAGATAATAATTATTTTCTCATTTTACATGTCACCAAAAGAAACCTTATGTCCTACAAAATATGGGAAGGCCTTCGGACACAAAATGAGTATTTTCCTGTGCATTTGGGAGTGTCCTACTCAGACAGACAGACAGACAGACAGACAGACAGACAGAGACACACACACACACACACACTGATTTAGCCATCGTTTATTTGTGACACATGGGCTAAAAATATGCACGCGCTGCCAATAGCTCGGCGCAGATGTATACAGCCGCAGCTGCTTCCCGCGGAGCACCCCGCATGTCCCCCAACCCCCCCACACCCCCATCCCCAGTTTTGTCAAAGCGAGTCCACATCAATTCCAGCTAAGAGCTCCGGGCACCATCCACGGCCATTCCGGAAAGGAAAATGCCAGCCGCCCTGGCGGCGGCCAGCTCACAGACGGCAACAGGGACGGCGCAGATGGCGGCGAAGGCTCGGGAGGAATCCTGGAGAGGGCCGGAGCGCAGACACAAAAGGCCAGCTTCCAAATAACGGCAGAGCATCCAGTCCGGCTCATCCAGTAATACCAAAGTTAATATTTCCATGCTGGAGCATGGTGGATTTAAAGTCGGAGGAAAATATATATATGCAGCAGAGAGGAGAGCACTGCCGGAAAGGGAAGGCAGCTGCAGCTGCGCGGAGGGGCTCCTTTGGCGGATAGGAGAGCAACCATCCACTCAACTATGAAGAGCACGTTTAGCAGTGATTCATTTTTGGTGGTTGGCTCCCTGCCACATCTAAACACAGGAGAAGGGAATCTGGTATCGAGCCAATGTACCATAGCCACTATGGCTAACTGCTTACTCAGTGTTTATGAGAAGATAAAAAGTAAACGAGGAATAAACAGCAGCCCCATAGGCCCAATGAGCAGCGCCGGCTTCAGATGCTCAACATCAGCAGACCTCTGCCATATGTTAGTGCTCTTTGCCTTCTGTTTGATGGATGCTTCACTTAAAGGCAGCAGAATTAAGCAGCCCTTGGGTGGCATCACATTTTTTTGAGAGCATGCTTCAGACTCCCTCATAAATGTAAAGCCTCTTCTTCCTGTGCAACTGTTTACATTCGCTTGGATACTCTTGAATGGATGTACACAAGGAGCAGGGGATGCTTGATCCACTGAAGAAGAAGAAAAAAAAGACTAAAGAAGTATATGCAAGTATGGAATGTGTTTTTAGAATATGGCATTTCTGAAAGACTTCACTTTGAAGGAGTTTTTAGGTAGGAAGTCTTACACACAAACAAATCTCCACTCATTAGGCCTGCATTCAAGCTTCAAGCTACTCTATCGATTGGGGTCAGCTACGGGATACACTGGTTCACAGAAAACTGGTATAACTATGCCATGGTGACAATAACAATAACAAGAACCAGTTCATTTGTTCATTTCATATCAATCCACTATGATCATTGATTATAAATATTTTGACAAGTGAAATGGTTTATACATGCAAGTATAAGTAGAGGGGGAAGGTAATGTTAGGGCCAGTCAGCATGCATCTCAAAGCTACTATGAGTACACCATAGACACTGCAAATACTATACTTCGTATTAGGGTTGTCAAAGAAATCGATACTCAGACACTAAACAATACTAAAAATGATCGAATTAGATACTCATTTGTAGATACTCATTAATAGTATTGATACCAACAGTGCCATCTTCACCTCCTTCAATTGACACGGAACTTAAAGCACCGCTGCAGACAGGCAGGCACACAGCCCTCCACTCAGTAGCAGCTGAACATATGAACACTCACAGACGTGGTGGTGACGAAGTAGAGTAGCATCCGGGTCTTTCAGAAATTTCACGAGGGCAGTATAGCTTCTGTTTCAACAACAATGAAGGATTAAACAGGTATCTTTGGGCACCTTTCCACCGAACCAAGTATGGTACTTGGCTTTTCCATTGACTTCCAGTCGAGTACCAGTACCAAAAGTACAAAACCAATTGGGGTAATTCTTTGGTACTTCGGTACTTTGGGATGGGACTTGAAATGCTTTCTTTGTCAATTGGTTATGCAAATAGCCTGCCACTGAAATACAATACAAGCGCCACCTTGAAAACTGTTTATCGTTTTCCAAGCTTGTAACATAGTAAAAAAAATTATTAATTGCGATCTGCATGCTGCCCTGGCGATGTGATTTTGTTGCAACAAATATGGCGGTATTTATAAAGCAAAAAGGAAGTTTTTCACAAACCCTTTAAACAGCAAAGCATGAACATTATTAAAACTGTGTCAGAGAACGCATGCAGCATTTATGCAGAAGTAGCAGAGGTAAACTTTAAACTGATTTTTAAACATATAAGAATCTATAAAAGGAATAATAATTACAATTGCAAAGCTTGCTAAGTTTTTTTGACAGAGTAAGAGTAAAAATATTTTAGCAAAACTTTAACCCCCTGTGCTATAACGCTCATACAAAATTGAAAGTAAGAAAAAGCCTTATTTTGATATAGCTGATTAGCAATGTAAGAAGTGGATGTGCTTAATATGCAATGTTGGTATTAACATTGCACATCGCCAAGCCCTATAATATACTACAGCCATTTTTCGAATTCAGTACAAAATACACCACTTCGCGTTGTGATGTCATTCAGTACCGGTACTAGCTTTTACGACAGTGGAAAACACCTTAAAGTATCATTTCTCAAAGTACCAAAAAGCACAGTACCTGGTGCAGTGGAAAAGCGCCCATAAATGTTAACCTGGCCAGCGCACACGTTAATGTCAGCCTTTCAACTAAACTGGCTGATAACGTAACAGATGGTTAATGTGGCTACCAATGAGAGTGTGGCTACGGCTAATAATAAAATGACACACAACTGTTGCCATTGTTGCTTCTTGACATTTGTTTTTTGGGGTATTTTTTTGGCAATACCTCAGACAGTCTAAATAAATCTTCTTGTTTTTTTCCCCACTACCCAAAAGAAACTTTGACAAATGTTTGTCTATATATTTGTATGTATATATGTGTGTGTGTATATATATATATATATATATATATATATACATATATATACACACACACACACACACACACATATATACACACACACACACACACACACATAAATACATATATACATACATATGTGTGTATGTATGTATGTG